AAATAATATCAAATATAAAAATGTTTTTCTTCATATCAAACACACGTGTACATTTTTTTTATTTAGTTAATTAATGTATAAGAAGAGAGATTGGTATCACAACGGATAGAACAAATAGAATACAGAGTTTATATTGAGAAGAAATTATCGTGCAAACTCTTATTCGATATTGACAAACATCAAATCTAATCTATATTTGAATGAAATGTGGGTGGTAAATTTTGTGCATTTGTGTATATGATGATACAATATAATAATATGAAATAAAATAAAAGTTGAATGAAGAAACGTACCATGCATGTGGCTTTGATAGCAGTGTCAGCATCAAATTCAGGCAGACCACTGTTTTCACAAATGGAAAGCATGACATCCATGAAATCTTCTTCTGCTTCACCAGATTTTATAATTCCTCTCTTCGTTTTGTGCTCTGCTAACCATTCTTCAACAACAGAGTCCATTTCTCTAGAAACCTTCTTCATTGCTTTCTCATGGCCTCCTATATCCAGCCATCTTAAATAAGGTAAAAAATCACCCACAACAAATGCTCCTAATAATTCGAAAAATCTTCGAATTGCTTTGTGTGCCTTATTTATTCCTTCGTCCTCATTACTCCTTCGCCCTTTTCCGAATAACATTTTCCCCAGAGTGTTCATAACTATATCCCCAAACCATTCCTTCATCTCCATCTTCACAACACCATTTAAATTATTCTTCGCCCAATTATTATAAATCACTTTAATACCTGATTTTACCTCAAATTCTCTGATGTGTTTGAGCATCTCGATTCGCCGATTGGAGAGAAGTTCAACAATGGTAATCTTCCTTGTTTCTCGCCAGTAAGGACCATAAGAACAAAGTCCAAACATGGCGTCTTTGTAGCACATGATTTCTGAACCCATTGATTTAGGCCGGCCGGCTAGGGCTAAATCGTTTGTTGTGAAGCACTCTTTGGCTAATTTGGGATCGCTCACAACTACAACCTGATGAACTCCAAGCTTCATTCCGAAAATCGATCCGTACTTATCTGCCATGCGGCCTAAGGTTCTGTGAGGCAATTGATCAGTTTTCGATCCACGGAGGAAGTGGAGATGACCGATAATAGGCCATGCTCCGCCAGCTTCAGGTACTCTTCTAATTCTACTCTGTGATTTATCTGTAAAAAATTGTTTGCGAAGAAAGAAGAAAACAAGCAATGAGCAAGTTACTGTAACGGCAATCAAAAATAAATCCATGGCTGCTCTGTGAAAGGAGCTAGTTACTTCGGGGAAGATACTCGTTGATCTGATTGATGCTAATTTATTTATATTTAGAAAGAGCCACAAAAAGAGAGGAGTAATTTCCTATTATGAACCAAGAAAATTTTTATGGTGATAGAGGCATAAGTTAGATATGGTGTGCGAGGAATTATTTTTCAATTAAAAAATGTATGGATCCTACTTTTTTATGTGCATTGTTATTTCTTTCTCCTATTTTTATTTAATTTTTACGAATAAAAAATTATTCCCTCTGTCTCATTTTATGTGGCACCATTTTCTTTTTGGTCAGTCCCAAAAAGAATGTCACATTTTCTTAAATGGTAAGTTTATAAATGTACAATTTCTCTTTTATTCTTGTTGGTCCCACTTAATCTTAAAATAATACTCCAATACATTTATGAGGAGAGAGAAAAAAGAGTCTACTTTTTAAAGGGCAATTTGGTAAACATTTCAAAGTCTTCATTTATTTCTTAAACTCCGTGCCCGGTCAAATGTTGTCACATAAAATGGGACGGAGGGAGTATCATGTTTGAATGATAAGTGGAGGCCTTTCTCTCTCCTACTTTGCTTCACACACTTCTCTTTCTCAATTTCTTCCCTTTAACCTTTTTTTTTGTCCTTTCTAATTCTTTGAGTTTAGATCATTGTTTTTCAATTATGAATTTAATTTACTCAATTCTTCTTATATTATATATCTTTCTCCATTTGATAATTGGCCTGTAGATTTTATTTTATTTTTTAAAAAAATAATCAAGAATATGAAAAGGAAAAATCTAGGAGAAAATTATAAAATGAAGACTGAAATTTTAATCTACGAGATGAACCCCTAGGTAGTCAATTAACTAAGTTATGAAAATTCCTCATTTGGTACATATATATACGTTGGATTAATTAGTTTTTTCACTTATCAAACCAATCGAATCAATAAAATTAGGTTTCTTGATTTTCTCAATTTTTAAAAAAGTTTAATTGCGTATTACACTAAAATTAATTTAATTTTTACAAATAATGATGTAAATGCCACACTTCCATACAATTATATCTAATTCAATTTATTAAAAAGGAAAAAAATATTTTGTATATACAAATATTTATCATATAATATATTTTTCCTTTTTTTGCGCATTACAGTTGATATTTTTGTATATATATAATTGTTTACCAACAAAGATTCTGGTGGAGTGGTAAGTACTCTTTCATCCTTAACCAAGAGGTCTTAGGTTTGAGTCTCCTTGGGTACGGAGTTGCCTTTGCAGAGAGTTTTACCCCCAATGTGGGACTTTCCGACGCGAATCCAAATTTAGTCGGGCTCCAATGTGGGTATCAAATACCGGATGGAAACAAATATATATATATAAAAAAATTTAAATAATTGTATAAAATAGTGTGGGTATTTACACCATAAGTCATAAAAAATCAAATACACTTTATTATAATATGATTCAAATCAAACTCAAAAAAATTAAGAAAATAAAAAAATCTATTAAAAAAATTTGGTGTGGTTTATTGTTTTACTCGAAAAATAAAATAAAAATGGACTTGTTTCGAAAAATCGACTAAACTTATGTTTTGAAGAGAAATCGATTTTTCAAATAGAGTCGCCACTTAATTTTTAAAATAAATTAAAAAAACTTATAATTTTTCAAATGACTTAAACAAAATAAAATCAATTGAAATAAAAAGGGTTCGAGTTCAATGTACAATCCGAGAAGGTGTTAGGCACTCGAATTGTCCGCGAACTTGCGGTTGACCAACGATTTGACTAAAAATATTTGACTAACTTTAGAAAATTAAATAAATAATAAAAATCCATTTTTACTTTTTGAAAGGAAATAAATCTAAGGAGTGTTTAGGGAAAAATAACTCATATGTTGCAAGACAACTAAATAATAAATAAAAATAAAAATATTTTAATTTGGACATAAAAGAAGAAATGACTATTTTTTTTGGGAATTAATTAAGTTAAACCAAAGTCAAATAAAAGGATAAATTACCTATATACACACCTTTTTATTCCTCATAATTCCCATTATTTCCTACCAGTTCTAAAATTTTCCAAAATCCCTTATTTTACTCCCAAACTCCCAATTGCCAGATACATAAATCCCAACTCCCAAAACCAACATTTATCCCTTCCTTATTTCACTCCACAAATTTCTCCTTATTTTTAATCACATAATCTTGATAGTTATTTCTCATTCATGTTTGAAATTCAAAATCAATCTCTTTTCTATATGTTAAGGATATTTTTAGACAAAAAAAATTTAAAAAGATATTTATGAGTCTTTTACCTATTTTTAAAAATACTCCAAAATTTATAATAAAATAAAATAAGTGAACTTCAAATTTTCAACACTAAAACATAAATTAGAAGGAGAAAAAAAGAAGTAATAGTAGTTATTATTTGTTAATAATCAATTTTTTTTCTCGTCTTCTTGTGAAACCCTTAACCTCGAAAAGGTTCAATGGCGACAATACCAGTTAATCCGAAGACTTTTTTGATCAATTTGACTGGAAAGCCTGTGATGGTAAAGCTAAAGTGGGGATTAGAGTAGAAAGGGTATTTGGTCTGTGGATTCATACATGAAATTGCAGCTTGCTAATGGGCAACAATATAATACCTATCAATTTAAACGAGATACATAAATATTAATATATCATGCACTATTTTTTTTAGATATGATACGTAAATTCGACTTTATACTAAATGTATCAATTACGTAGATACTATCACACGGTAATGTATCGATCTCAAATCTAACATCTTATGGGCAACAATTACTTTTTTAATGTATCTAGTATAAATACAATATATTAATTTAAACGAGATACATAAATTGTAATGTATCACGCACTAATTTTTTAGATATGATACGTAAATTCGAATTTATACTAAATGTATCAATTACATAGCAACTACCACACAATAATGTATCGATCTCAAATCGAACATCTTATGGGCAACAATTATTTATTTAATGTATCTAGTATAAATATAAAACTTATCAATTTAAACATGTCTCTAGGTGTTGCTATGTATCTTCTATCTTATTCAAATTTAGATATGCATTCAAATTTTGACACATAAACTTAATTAGTTTTGATACTTGATACAAAACTTCTACCAAATGTATCATTTATCATGTATCTAGATGTTGGTATGTATCCGTAAACAGTACATGATACATTAAAGTGTCACACAAGTATGTATCAGATTCATAAATGGTGATACGAAAGTTATTATCAAAAGTTTGTTTAGTTTGAGGCAAAATGTTAAGATCTTCCAGCTATGTATCTGATACAATAAATATGGAGCGCATTAATACATATGTGAAATCATGTATTAGATACACAACATAATGCATCATGTACATAATGTTCTGTCTTTTAAACAGTGCTAATATCAAATACAAGTTTTTATCAAACCCAGCTGTACAAATTGTGTGTTAGATACACAATTTTATGGAACACAATGTTACATCTACTAAACCATATAACTGATACATGGTATAATGTATCGGATACACAATATTCTATTCTTGCATGAACAAATACACAATTTTTTAGACATGATACGTAAATTGGAATTTATACTAATTGTATCTAATACGTAGCAACTACCACAAAGTAATGTATCGATCTCAAGCCTAACATCTTATGGACAACAATTACTTATTTAATGTATCTAGTAGAAATACAACACTTATCAATTTAAACGAGAATAGTAATGTATTGATTGTTTATTTATGTATCTTGTTTATTGGCACCAGTTGGGTCCTTCTTGTCAACACTGACATCAAAAGTTTGCCTCATGTCTCTCATGGTAAAACGGCCCACTGTTGGGTACTCAGCAAAGGTCTCAACAACCATAGGCTTGGTGGGAATCATCTTAACCATACCAGCATCATCATTCTTCAAGAACTTCGCCTCCTTCTCCAGTTCCTTACCTGAGCACCTGCCAATGTTGGTCAAGATCATAGCAAATTTTATAGCAATGTGGGAAGTTTGGCAGTCGAGCACTAGTGAATATCCAATTTCAATCCGATTAGGATAATTCATGATGATGACCTGAGCACCTGTCAATGATCCCCTCTTAATTACTTAATTTTCAATGGAGATGAGTTATTACCTTCACCGATGTATTTGATTTTCAAGATTTACCTAATCTCCTCAATCTCCAACTCGATTGAAATGACGACTTTGAGATTCATAAATAAAATTGATTGTCCAACAACAATTTCATCACTTTTGTAACCTTCATAACTCATCTCGCTTACCCAAATATATGATTCTCTCAACAAAATTGATATATATTAATATTGTATCAGCCAATATTGTCGATTAATTTAAATTCTTCACGATTTGGGTTACAATAGTGGCTTAACGGAGATGATAGAAATTTGAATTTTGAAAGATATGAATCTGTTACAAATTGGGATGGATTGATAACAATCACTTATGCTTGAATTGTGGGATATAAAATCACTTTTAGGTTAATTTTCCTAATAAAGCGCAACAACCAACTATTTTCCTTAAAAGGTGCTACTGCCAGCTTTTGCAAGTATCACATATAATGTATCCGGATGACTTCTATTTTAAAGGATTTTTGTAAAATAGAAAAAAGTAGGGATAAAATGTAATTTAGATTTATACTATGAGATTTATGTAAGTTATACCAAATAAAATGGTTAGAGAGTTAATAATTAATGTATAAATTATAGGAACCACATATTATAAGTATTAAATAACATCATATCCCTTCTAGTTTTCTATTTACCAAAAATCCCTTAAAAATGATGTTTGTGGGATACATAGCGTTGTGCACGGGATACATTAGATTTGATACATTTCACATAACGGGATACATAGCGTTGTGCACGGGATACATTAGGTTTGATACATTCCACTCACTTAGCGGGATACATAGCGTTGTGCACGGGATACATGCGGGATACATAGCGTTTGATACATTCAACAAAGCGGGATACATAGCGTTGTGCACGGGATACATGCGGGATACATAGCATTTGATACATTCAACATAGCGGGACACATAGCGTTGTGCACGGGATACATGTGGGATACATATGTAAATAAGGGATTTTAGAAATTTTTGAAATAAGTAGGGATAAATGGATATTAAGGTAAGTAAAGGAGTGTAGTTAAGTAATTTGTCCATAAATAATAGCAATGACAAGAGAATGCCCAAATTTAGGCCAAATCTGTTGGACCCTTGGTCCACACCTGTCCTATTTTATAAGTGGGCTGCTGAAAATCCAAATGAATTCTCAGCCCGTTTGTTTGTTCCTCAACCTGCTACTTAATCATATAGGACTGTTGCACAAAAAGAAATGGGTTTTAGGCCCATTTTGCTCTCAAACACTGGTGTATACAACAAATGTATATTACTATATATGGGCCATATTTTGACCCATTTACGTGTATATCAGACTGTATTCCATCCGTATACAGCATACTTAAGCCTTCAAACACCTGTATCAATTTTTTGACCCCGTCCTTCTGTATTCTGACTTGTATACCAATGTACACCCGATGTATACATATCCATTTCTGGACTTTTGAGATTTTGCAAACTCCCTTTGGCCCTTTGATTTAGACTCGAAAAGAATAAGATTTGAGCCTCCTTGGCTCAAAATGAAATGCACGGGAGTAAATAAAAGAGTCCAATGGACTCACTCACGAGTTCATGCAAGAAAAACAAAAGAGAGAATAACTAGTACATGACTAAAAGTAAACTGATTCAAATATAATTATCAACCAAATTAAACAAAAAGATATTTAAGCACAATGAGGTCTCCACAGTGAAGGAATAAAGAGACACAATTCTCAATCAATCACTTTAAAAGCTAAACATTTCTATCCCATGAAAGTTATTAAGAGATGGCAGCAGAGATAACAAAATATAATAACAAACTTTAGCACAATTTTATGCACTTAGGCATGCATTCAAAATAAGCAAGCAATATACTGATTTGAGTATGAACCGACCAACTGAAGTTTTCGTCAAACTCTAACTTAACATCCCCATTCTAGCCTAAATAAATAAAACCTTTTTTCACTAGAAAAGCTAATAACACGATGTAGGCAGTCATTCACAAGAAGATGCCTCAATTTTGACAAATTTAACACAAGAGAAAATGTTCCAGCATCTTGAAATAGATAGCTTTTCGACTCATTTTAAACTCAGCTTTAACCAAATCGAGCTCATCAAAAACTAACTAGGCGTGAAAGTTAACAAGGAATATACAACCAATATTATTAGAAACAACATTTTAGAGATGCGAAATACTAACAGAGGGACTATGATATTTAATTTTGAATGTAAAAGCACAGGCATACCAAAAGGAAAATAAAGCAGTAAGGCATCCGACTCATACAAATTATACTAACTGAAACAAGTAGAGAATGAGAACAACCTGTATATTAGATTATGAAAACGAAAATCACCTATAAAAGGTGATTCTGAACTTCATGACTGACTCCCCAACTTTCTCAGCCAACCAAACAAGACAATCAGTGAAATAAGAAAACCTCATGAGCTGACGACAAGTCAAAATGCTTTCAAAATTTAACATTTTGAAGCCTCTATGCAGCCCAGGATCAAACATTCATTATATTAAAATAAAGAGACATAAATCAAAACGAGTAAGCGAATAGAGATTATGTTCTAGCAAGAGTGAATTCTACCACAATGAGCTCAGTTCTGAAAAGCAGGGTCGACGCCTATTAGGAAATAGAGCTAAACTTGTAATTTTTGACGATTTTCAAGGGGTTCAAGTTGCTCTTTACTTGATGAAAAGTCTCTATATTTTGAGAATGAATATATGTGTTATTAGGGGAGGAAAGTCGTGTATTCATGGGGACCAAAATATCTCCCTCTCACAATGAAGATGAAGAGTATATATACATATGAGAAGATAAAGGGCAGAATTAGGGGGGAAAACGGGAGGAAATTTGAGGGTATTTTTTCAATTCAAAATTTGAATTCTCTTTTGGATAAGGTTTAAGGTGCTGTAAATCATACCAATTCCAACAGAAAAATGGTGAGGGTTGTTTGATTGTGAGCAAAGGACGAAGTAGCAACACGATTGCAACAACTGTCCCAATTCTTGAATTTTCTCAGTACAGAGAGGATAATGAGAGAAGGATAGAGCCCACGCGAACGGGTTGCTGGAGCTCGGGTCACGATTCTGGGCTGCTTTTCTGGGTTCTCGTTGCACTGGTTCGCAGAGAAGAAGAAAGGAGAAATGAACATGGGTGGGGTCGGTTTTGCTGGGTTGTATGTAGGTAAAATTACTAAAGTACACTACATATGTTTACCTATTATCAATTAATCCCTTCTCTTTCATAAAAATTCAAAAATCCCTACTTTTTCCCCAATTCCTATTTTTCGGATACTTTATTGTTAAAGAAATCAAACCCATCTTCCTCACCCCCAAAATCTCGCCTCTAATCTCTCTCACTACCAAATCAGTTACCGCTTTCAAAGCAATTTGATTTCCAAACGATTCAGCAGTGTCAAAGTTCAAAATAGGTATTCTTCTTCTTCTTCATTTTTCTTTCAAAATCAATTTTTTGTTTCGATCGATTTTGGATTATTTGTCACAATAGATCATCCCTCTTTTAATATTGGGATTTCCCAGTTAATAACACCTAATAATGAACAAATTTTTGAATCTGAACACCGAAACTTGAATGAACAGAGGTCTAAAAGCTTGCATGTAACGCCATTAATGACGAATCGAACTTCTTCCAAGAGAAAATCGAAAACGAAGGTGGGGTCATCATCTAAAGCAAAGAATGCAAAAACTAAAACGAAAAGGGGTAGAAAGGTTGCCCCTCCCATTTTACGACCAACTCTACCCATGGTATGTCTATCTTTTGCTTTTAATTTTACATATTGTTGAAAAATAAACGTATCTAGTGTATATTGTAATCTGTAGAAACACTGATTTTTTGGGTTTGAGTTTTACTTTTAAATTTGTAGATGAAAGATATGATTGTTGAAATAAAGTATCTGTTACTTGTGATTCATATATCTGTTTATCAATTGCTGATATCTTATTGTTGATTTTAAGGTTTCATTGTTGAAATAAAGTATCTGTTACTTGTTGATATTAAGGTTTCATGGTTGAAATAAAGTATCTTTTACTTGTGATTCATATATGTAGATGATAGAAAAATAAGTATTTGTTTTATATTTGTAGATGAAAGACTAGTTTAAGGCAAGTTTTGTATTTAAGATAGGCAAGTTTTGTAATCTGTAGAAACACTGATTGTTTGGGTTTGAGTTTTACTTTTAAATTTGTAGATGAAAGATATGGTTGTTGAAATAAAGTATCTGTTACTTGTGATTCATATATCTGTTTATCAAATGCTGATATCTTATTGTTGATTTTAAGGTTTCATTGTTGAAATAAAGTATATTTTACTTGTGATTCATATATGTAGATGATAGAAAAATAAGTATTTGTTTTACATTTGTAGATGAAAGACTAGTTTAAGGCAAGTTTTGTGTGCTGCGATTTGTATTTAAGATAGACAAGTTTTGTAATCTGTAGAAACACTGATTGTTTGGGTTTGAGTTTTACTTTTAAATTTATAGATGAAAGATATGGTTGTTGAAATAAAGTATATGTTACTTGTGATTCATATATATGTTTATCAATTGCTGATATCTTATTGTTGATTTTAAGGTTTCATTGTTGAAATAAAGTATCTTTTACTTGTTGATATTAAGGTTTCATGGTTGAAATAAAATATCTTTTACTTGTTGATATTAAGGTTTCATAGTTGAAATAAAATATCTTTTACTTGTGATTCATATATGTAGATGATAGAAAAATAAGTATTTGTTTTACATTTGTAGATGAAAGACTAATTTAAGGCAAGTTTTGTGTGCTGCGATTTGTATTTAAGATAGGCGTTCAATTCGTTGTATGATATAGAGGTTATTTGTTGTACAATGTATCATATTCGTAAATATGCACATGAATGATGCGAAAACAGAATTTAACATATATGTTAGTTAACATTTTGTATCATGT